AAATAAGAGGGAGGTTGTCTCTCAGATAAAAGATCAAGCACCAAAAAGACCCAAAATACAAAAATGTGATGATCAAAAACATATACCAACAAAACTACCAAAACTAATTTTCAAACGTTGTGAGGAATGTGATAATTGGTATAAGAAAAATAAGCTTGGGGCACATTTACGATCAAACATCCATAAAACTGCATTACTTGATAAAAATGACGATCTTGTAAAAACTATAAAATCAGCCTTCAAAAGCAGGATTTTAACGTTAATGTTAATTCCATCAAAAAAGCTTATAGATATAGACAAATTTTTTGAAGAAGTTGAAGAGAAATTTATGAGGTTGATTACAGAACAAATAAAAAAACACAGGGCAGTTAAAATTAATGTTGAATTATTTGGTCAATTTATTTTACAATCAAAAGAAACCATTGAAACAAAATCATTTAATACCAAAAACAAAATTATCACAGCAACAACAGATATGATTGATATTTATAAAACATTTTTATCTGAAATTAAGGAAAAATTGTCGACTTTTGCAGAATATGGATCTGGTTGGGCTTTGGAAAAAATACTTTATTTAAAGATCAACGTTAATAAGTACAATCCCATTAGAGCTTCTTCGTATATCCCATTACCAAAACAAATAGCTAATAGAAGAGCTGTAATTAACATAAAAAATAAAGATCAACACTGTTTTGGGTGGAGTGTAATAAGTGCCATGTTTCCAGTAGACCAACATAGTGATAGAATAAGTTCATACCCTAATTTTTTGGATTATCTTAATTTCGAAGGTATTGAATTTCCAATGAAGTTGAAGGATATTAAAAAATTTGAACTTTTAAATGAAATATCCATAAACGTTTATGGTTTAGAGAGTGTTTATAAAGATTCCGAATTATGTTATGAGGTAGTTGGTCCTCTTCATTATACCGATAAGAAACTTCCAACTCATGTAAACTTATTGTTAATTAGTGAAGGTAAAAACAATCATTATTGTTGGATTAAAGATATGTCAAGGTTAGTTGCATCTCAAATAAATAAAACAAGTTATAGAAAATATTTTTGTGATGGATGTTTAATTTATTTTAATTCTAAAAAAAAATTAGATATGCATCAAGTATATGATTGTAACCATGTGTTTACAAAAATTCCAACAACTGATATAAAAGTTAATAAATATGGGCAACAGATCCCTGAAAATATTCTCCAGTTCGAAAACTTTCAGAAGCAACTTAAAGTTCCATTTGTAATATATGCCGATTTTGAGTGTTTTTTAAAACCTCTACAATATGAAGAACCAACCAATGATAAGAGTTCTTTTACATTAAACACTTTTAAGCATGAACCATATTCTTTCGCTTATTTCATTAAATGTTCATATGATGATTCTTTATCAGAAATAGATTATTATTTTGGTCTTGATGCAGCTGATGAATTTTGCAAACGAATTGAAGCTCATGTTCATAGAATTTATAATAATTATCTGAAACATGTAGTACCGATGGTTCCTTTAACAAATGAACAAGAATTTCAATTTGAAAATAGTATCATTTGCAGTATTTGTAAGGAAAAATTCAATCCTTTAGATGAAAAAGTAAGGGATCATGATCATTTAACTGGAAAATATCGAGGGGTAGCACATAATATTTGTAATTTGAACTACCAGCTTCCCAGTTTTATTCCTGTGTTTTTCCACAACCTCACAGGATATGATAGCCATCTATTCATCAAACAACTTTGTTGCGAAAATGATAAAATTGATATTCTTGCACAAACTAAAGAAAAATACATTTCATTCACAAAGTCAATATTGGTTGACAAAATTGAACAAGTTGATAAAACGAAAGTTAAGCATGTTTTTATTAGGCTCAGATTTTTAGATTCTTTCCGTTTTGTCGCTAGTTCATTAGAGAGTCTTGGTAATAGCTTAGATATCAATCAATGTGTAGAAATTAGAAGATATTTTCAAGATTCCAATCAGTTCAATGAAATTAGAAAAAAAGGAATTTATCCTTATTCTTATGTAGACTCCGTAGACAAATTAAATGAAACCCAACTTCCAAGTATTGAAAACTTTTATGATAAACTTAAAGATACTCCTTTAGATCCTTCAGATTATGAACGAGCTATTCATATTTGGAATTTGTTCCATTGTCAAAACCTAAGGGATTACACTAAGATATATTTATTATCAGATGTTCTCATATTGACGGACTTTTTTGAGGCTTTTCGAAATGTATCCCTTAATATATATGAATTAGATCCTGCACAATACTTTACAGCACCTGGTTTATCTTGGGATGCAATGTTGACATTTACAAGGGTTAAATTAGAATTATTAACAGACATTGAAATGTTACATTTTTTCAAAAACAGTATTCGGGGTGGAATATGTCATTGTAGTGTTCGAAAAGCTGAGGCTAATAATCCATTTCTTCCAAATTTTGATTCTACGGAACCCAATTCGTTTATTATGTATTTGGATGCAACTAATCTTTATGGACATAGTATGTGTCAATCTTTACCTACAAGTGATTTTTCTTGGATGACTAATGAAGAAATAGATTCTCTTGATGTTTTATCCATACCAGATGATTCTGAATATGGATATGCATTTGAAGTAGATATCAAATATCCCCTAAATTTACATAAAAAACATAATGAACTACCTTTTTTAGCTGAAAATATATGTCCACCAGATTCATATCAAAAAAAATTAATTTGCAGTTTGAATCACAAAGAAAAATACACAATTCATTATAGAAATCTCAAACAAGCAATTCAAAATGGACTCAATGAAATTAAATTTCACAGAGGTATCAAATTTAAACAATCTGCATTTCTTAAACCTTATATAGATTTAAATACAGAAATGAGGAACAAATCTAAAAGTAAAATGCAAAAGGACTGTCATAAATTATATAACAACGCTATTTATGGCAAATCTTTAGAAAATATTGATAAACGAGTAGACATACGATTATTAACCCATTGGAAAAATATTAATAATAAACAGGGAGCTGAATCACTTATAGCTAAACCTAATTTCAAAAGTTCATTAGTGTTCAACGAAAACCTAGTAGCAATTCAGTTAGAAAGGGTAAAAGTAACATACAATAAACCTGTTTATGTTGGTTTCACAGTATTAGAACTTTCAAAAACTGTAATATATAATTTTTATTATCAGTATATTAAACAAAAATATGGAGACAATGCAATTTTATTGTACACTGATACGGATAGTTTAATTTTACATGTTAAAACAGATAATTTTTATAAAGACATTCAAGAAAATCTTGAACGATTCGACACTTCTAATTATGAAGAAAATAATGTTTATAACATTACAAGAAATAAATCCGTGCTAGGTCGTATGAAAGATGAATTTGCTGGACAACCGATAGTCAGCTTTCTAGGCACAGGTGCTAAAGCATATTGTGTTAACTTGAAAAATAGATCTGAGAAAAAAGCAAAAGGAATAAAAAAATATGTAGTTCAAAATTCAATTAGCCAAGAAGATTATAAAGACGTAGTTGAAAAGTCTGATATTAAATTTAGAAAAATGAATATCTTCCATTCAAGTTGGCATAACATGTACACACAATTAAAAAATAAAGTTGCTTTGTCTCCTAAAGATGATAAGCGTTATATTATTCAAGGAATTTTTAGGACTTTGGCTTGGGGTCATAGAGACATTAATATATTGAGCGATGATAATATTTGTGATGATGAAGACGTTAATGACGTAATTAAAGTGCTTCAAGGATTAGCTTGTGATTGCTATAAATTGTGATAATTATTAAAGCATATAATCATTTGAAAGTAATCATGCTACCAGCAGGACTCTTGTTTCTTTCTGCATTTTTAAATAGTACTTTGTTTATACAAGTCAATTACAATGTAAGAGAGACGTTTATATGTTTATCAGCTAACAATGTAAAAAATGATACATGGCCATCAGCATGGAAAAGAATGGATTATTTGAATAATGGTCTTTATTCTTATAAACTTGGAAAAAATATTGATAATTCTTCTAATGTTGATTACAAGTTACGGATTTATTTTGTAGATAGAAACTATGTAGAAACAAAAGAATGGCACAAATTATATGTAAAGCCATGTGAAAATAATTTAGATGTGAGTCTAATAATTTTCTCTATTATATCATTTCTATCATTTATTACTATATTATGTTTTCTTTTATATCATGTATATTTGTATTACAAATAAAAGTTTTTGAATTTTCATTTGTGTGATTTTTCCTTGACCAACTCATCCAAAATTTATGTAAAAGGTGAAAAAAGAGAAGGTATACTAATACCCACCTCTCAAAATTTTCATCATGTCTACTTTGTCTTGATATATAAATGAAAAAATGAAAAGTGTTGCTATCATTCAGTTTCAAACTTTTGTCTGAGTATCAATAATAAAATGTTCCAAGCAACCAACTACTATCAACAACCAAAAAAAATGGAAGAATTTGGTAAGAACCGAAATGGAACCCTAATTGGAGAAAAAAAGTACTACATCAACAAATCACAATCCAAGTGGGTCAGCGTTGGATTTTCCTTGGAGAGAAAATATATTCCCGTTGTTAAGCTAGGAGGATACAAAAATAAGCAAAATGTGATTTTTGATGAGGAACAATGGATATCGACGGCGTCAATGCAAAACCATGTATCTCCAAACTCGTTTTTTTTTCAGGAACCAGCAAAAACCCCCCAGTAACATATTTCATTAGGTTTTGAAGGGGTTAATTTTTTGCGTGATTTATACTAGTGATAAAGGTATTTTTAAAATATTTTCTGTATAATTTACCTTAATTTTGTTTTTTAAGCGGAGATAAGTGGAATTGCACATTTACTTTGTCAACAAATGGAGATACGCGGTATCAAACAATAAAAACCCAAAAAATAGTTAGTAGTTTCACATTATTATTTATTGCCAATTTATTACAAAAATAAAAGCTTAAATTCTGAATAGGTGCTTATTTGGTAAAGTGATTATTTATGTAATAAGTTATCATAAAATGACCAAAAGTTTGAGTTCAGTTTAGTTTTTATTTGTTGAAGGTGTGTGAATTTTTGTTTCGTAATTGGAAGTTTTCCAGTAAATAGTCTGGGAAATTCATCAATTTTTTTAATGCTTCTTTTTGGACGCTGAGGAAGAGGAAGGAAGTTCTCGTTGAAATCTAGTTTGTAATGTATTTCTCCACGCTCATATTTTAAGGCTCGAATATTGGTCACTGTAGGGTCATCTGGTTTTCTTCCAGGGCGAATCGATTCATATACCAAGTCTTTATTATAGTTTTTGAAGAAATCGAAGCTTGGTGACATCACTTCATAAGGATTGGGATTTTTTCTAGCTTCTTCAGTTATCCGTTGGAAGTCATGAGGTACTGATATAGTCTTGTTTTTTAGTTTTTTCTCGATAGTTGCATGCACACTGTCGCATTCCATGTTTGTATGTCCTTTCACCAAATATTTTTGTATGATAGTCACATTGTATGTTGTTGAAAGTGAAAGCAGTGCATTTGCCATTGTAGAGTTGCGATTTTGATAGGTGCAACCATCAGAGAAGATAATTATAGGCTTTTTCTCACCAGGAATGTTCAAAAATTTTCTTTGCAAGAAATCTACTAGTAAAGATGCAAACGCAGAAGCTTGTAAATCTGTATCAGTCTCGTCAAACCAATAGCAAGTAGCATCTTTGGTATTAAGATCATAAACTGTGAAATTGTGGCAACATAATTTAGTTTTGAAGTACAACGAACTTGCTTGTAGATAGGGACATGTTTTTACAGCCTGTAAATCCATACATAGTACGTGGCAATTGTTATTTTTAGCCTCTTCTTTGTCTTTGACTTTTTCTTGTTGTGCTCTCTCTTTATCTTGCCTATGTTTTTCCCATGTTTCCTGTTCTAGATTTCCTGCCTGATATTCTACACACAAATCACATTGATCCTTGCGAGGACTAAATATGCCGATATTTTTCTCTTTCACGTATTTCATCAGAGTATTTCTTGATAAACCTTTCTGATTTGAGCTATCACAGTGTTGTTGGTACAATTTGTGCAACTCAGAAAAGCTTCCAAATGTTTCTTGTAAATATAGTTTTTTTGTTTCTTTACGGCAGTAGTGACTGGGCAATTTCGGAAGATTATCTAAAAACGACTTTAGGAACTCTACACTCTCTTCATTTACAAGACGCGCTGAATTTCTTTTCGATGTCGTTTTTTCTGTCCCGTAAGTTGAGTTATTTACCCAATTCGATACCATCCATTCTTTTAGACCTAGTGTTCCTAAGAACATTTTCTTACATACTTGTACATTTCGGTCGCCAATATTCAATGAGTAAAACATACTTTCATTTCTCCTAGAAACTTCAGCATCGGTCCTTTGTCTTTCTTTTTCCTTTTTAGAAACCAAGTTCATAACATACACTTTCTTCTGTTCCCAAGTTGGCAGATTTTCCCAAAATGCTTTAAAAATAGCTAATCTTTGGTTTTGGCTTATTTTCTCACAATTTCTTACAAGCTGCAGAAGTACAGCTTGGACCCATAAGTCTTGCATTTCTTTCAACATCTTGAAATGTGAGTTTTTGATTTCTTGGTCGTCGAAATCCCACGTACTTTTGTCCCGTAACTCTCAGATTTTGATTTCTTTTCCTATAACTATTAATACCAATTGTAGAAGCTTCTTCATGCATTAACGGAGTTTGGTTCGCGGCTTCCATGTCTTCTTCCTCAGCTTCCATATCTTCTTCCGATTCTTCGTCACTTTGTTCTGCTTCGGGTTCATAATCCCTATCTTCTCTTTCACTGTCATTTCTGCTTGTTTCATGTAGCTCAGGTTCAAAGTCTATTTCCATAGGCTCTTGAATATTGCTGTCATCTTCTGTTTCCAAATTGGATTGAACTTCTGTTACATTGAAAATATTAATAATATTATTGACTTCATCACTTTCAACAAAATCTACCAAATTCAAAAATGAATTTCCTTGAATTATTACATTTTCTGGATTTTCATTTATTTGTATTTCACCATTAGATTCAATGGTAGATCCATTGTCTATATACATAAATTCAGCTTTGTCAAGAATCTGCTCGAAGTTTTCTTGATCTTCAAGTGTATCGTTTTCAGATTTTTTATGGGTTGTTGTAAGTGTATCACAGATCATGGAATTATCACATGTTTTTTCAGTGCTAGGAACATCTTCGGTGGAGGGCATGTCAGTTTTTTGTATTTCACCATTAGCTTCAATGGTAGATCCATTGTTTATATGAATAGATTCAGCTATGCCAAGAATCTGCTCGAAGTTTTCTTGATCTTCAAGTGTATCGTTTTCAGATTTTTTATGGGTTGTTGTAAGTGTATCACAGATCATGGAATTATCACATGTTTTTTCAGTGCTAGGAACATCTTCGGTGGAGGGCATGTCAGTTTTTTGTATTTCACCATTAGCTTCAATGGTAGATCCATTGTTTATATGAATAGATTCAGCTATGCCAAGAATCTGCTCGAAGTTTTCTTGATCTTCAAGTGTATCGTTTTCAGATTTTTTATGGGTTGTTGTAAGTGTATCACAGATCATGGAATTATCACATGTTTTTTCAGTGCTAGGAACTTCTTCGGTAGAGGGCATGGCAGTTTTATCTTTATTAATGTATTCATTTTTGACGGACCTACTTTTATTTTCGATCATAGACAAAATCTTTTTAGTTCTTGACGACATTTTGCATTGCCAATGTTCTGATGACAAAAAGATTTGCGTTTGTGCATCTGGAACAATTTAAATCGTTGGCTATTTGAGTTTTAACAAGAAAACACACATTTTTTTTTAAATTGCCCTATTTTATGATGGTTTAATTTCAATAGCTACTAGAATAATTGTTTAATTTAAATAGCAACTGAAATAATTTTATAACACAATAATACGTATGTCCCAAATTATAAAAAAATTGTCAAAGTTGATACCACGTATCTCCAAGACTACCGAATTTTATGGATTTCATTGGTTTATTTCTGTATTTCTGACAAAAAAAATGTGTGTTATTGTTCCTTATAAATATATCTATGAGCAGGTAAAGAAATTAAACTTATACGGTGTACTTAACAACAGAAAAATCGATTTCTAAACGAGCTTACCGAAATTTTACATGCCAGCAGCCTATTAATCTTGGAGATACGTGGTATTGGAATCTTTAGCCACGTGTTTCGACAATAACCTTGTCAACCAGTCCTACAATAGCGTCATCTAACGATTCGTCTTACAAACTTTTACAAAACTGTGCAGAAACCTGAATTTTGAAATATGATGGAGATACATGGTATTGCATTGACACCGTCGATATCCTTTTTGAATAACCAAAAAAATTTGTTAAGTTTTGTTTACTCTAAAAGTTCGGGATGGCAGTCTTTGTCAGGAAATGGCTACGAAATTCAGTTTGTGTTTATTGGCAAATCAAGAATAATCAAAATTACTCAAGATGGTGGAAACGAAATTTTTTTGGCTGGTGAAACTATAAATGAACTCATAAATTTGGTTAACTTGATAAAGTATCGTTTTGATCTACTTAAGAGTCAAGAATTTTTAAATTATTACAAGAGAGTAATAAGCATGGTATCCAATAAAAATGGTGATTTGAACAAAAATGTATACGAGAATATTTCACCTTCAACTAACCCAAATAGTGAAAACGTTTCCTGTGTTCTGGAATTGCTAATTTTCCATTCTGATTGTATTATAGAAGATGTGGAAACATATGTATGTAACGAATTTGTTAATAAATTGGAAAATAAAAAGTATTAGTACCAACATACCTACTCTTTATTACCTCCCTCCACTAAACAAGTAATATTTAAGCTTCAGGAGCTGTTTTGATATTATATAACTAGTCAAGATGTGGTTAGCTTATGTACAAGAAACTCCAACCTACAGCTTGACAACAGCAGTTGAAAATTTGGCACAACTTTTTAGAAATTTGGAATTTGACGCGGAGCATGAAGCTAATTGTGGATTTGAAAGGTTCAAAACGATCGAAGAATGTATGGAACTTGCAAGAAAATATAGCAAAGCGGAGGAGGCTTGTAATACCTACTTACATACTTTGGATCTGACAACATTCCTTACTACCATAAAACACATGGATTTTGCTCATTTTTTAGATAAAGTGAAAAGGTTTGCTCCGAAAGAAATTATTCAGGAAGTGTTTAATAATAAGTTGAATATGTAACTTATATCATTATCAAATAAAATAAACAAAAGTTCAAAAAACAAGTGTTTTATTCAATCATTATAAAATTATTATATAAATAGAATACATTACTAAGTGCACATATACATTGTGATTTCAGATGGTAAAAACATTCAGGCTGTCCTTTTTGAAGAGCCGGCTTATCTTCAAATTCCAGAACAGGCTTCAATGAGTATTTTCTAATGTATTCGGACTTCTCTTTCCCTTTTACGTAAAAACATTGTCTACTTTTCCTGTTAGATTTTTGACAATGTCTGCAAACTTATAAATTGGAGTGTATCCCTCGTTCCAACAAATACAATGATGATTATGAATTAACCAATTTGCTTGTTTACATAAATCAGGTGGTAAATGTTGAATATCAAATGGTGGTCTAAAAATATAGTGGCATATTTTGGTACCATCATAGGCAGCTAGTTCCTTGGGTATAAATTTGTTATTTTCTATTGTAAATCCTTGCACATCCAACACTAGTTTATTCATATTTTCATATTGGAAAATGCTTTAATATAATATAATAAATTTAATAAACTTTTTTTCTGAGTATTCTTGTATTTGTTTTTTTAATTGCTGTAACTTCTTCATGTAACGAGATAGTTGTACATCCAATTCGGTCTTCATGATACTGATAATTTGAGATAAATATCTGATTTATATAAACATAAAAGCATGCGCATTATAGCTGCTTTACTATTTTTGTTAGAGGATTATAGCTGAATATTTTATCATGAAGGATCAGACAGTATGCAGAAGTATCCTTTTTGACATTGGTGCTTGTTTCAAATTCAACTCTCATGACAACAGATCCTGTTTGAATTGACTCTTTCTGATGAGAACAGTCGATGTGTGTTATGGGAGAAATACTTTTGAAATCAGTGGGATTAAACACTGGCTCAGTTGCAATTCCATAATAGGAATGTCTGAAGTTTGCAAACATTTCGTATAAGGCAGAAAAATTATTGTCTTTGAAATTTAAGTGCAAATCATGATAAGGATAACGTTCAGAATTTAAAAATACTCTTATATTAGTTAGATCAATATCATCAAACTGACTCATATCTTTTTTAACTTGCCCTTTCCGATCTATTTGAAAGGCTACTACAACATGACGAGGAGATTCGAGTTTATTTGTCGTTTTCACTGGCCAGGTATGTCTAGTTGTTTCTGATATAGACGAATATTCAACAATTTCCCAACTTCTAAATCCTAGAAAGATTTCTTTGTTAGATTCTAGTATTTTTGATAATGCCAGTTGTTGAGGTATGTCTACTGTTATGTGTGGAATTTTCCAATACAATTTATCGAAGGAGATCATTGGAGTTTCATCAGTAATTACTTTGGTCTCCAAATCATCTTTAAACAAAACTGCATCTAAATCATTACTTGCTCTAATAAGAACTAATTCTTGTTTCATATTGATTATAATTTTTTTATAATCTTCGAAAAATCCTAAAAACATTTTTAGTGGTATGGAAACACAAAACTTTCCATTATCATCCACCAAAATTCGTTCGGCCTCTTGTCTTTTTGGAAACCAACCTGCATTCTGTAGTTTTAGACTTTCATTAGTATTGTGTGAAAGATAACCTTTTAGAGTAGAAGCTAATCCGACATTTCTCACAGAGTCTATAGTGACTCCGTTTAACTCATAACGAATTTCTCTAAAGAGAAAAGCAATACCGTTATTAACAAATCTTAACCTTTTTGTATAGGTTCCTTCATTATTGACTAATTTTCCTTCAATGTAAAGTAAGCTTTCTGATGGTAAAGTAAATGTATCAAGCTCTTGAATGGGTATTCGTATTTCATCATTGTAATCAAACTTTGAAGAGATAAATGGTTGGTAGGTGTGAAGTTCGGAACTAACAATTGAATTGTCTACGTAAAGTTTTTCGTTAACATTTAAAATGTCCATTATATTAAAACTTTAAATCCTAAAGACGTGAGAAATTGATGATTTTCCCGTGTCAACCGGTTCACGTTTTCCTTGTTAATGAATTTGTTTTCAGATTTTTTTCTTTTATAAGATTTTTTTTCAAATAAAGGTAAAGAGTGGATAATGGAACTTCTATTATATCTAATAACCATTTCAAATACTATCTGTTTTTAAATGTAACCTAACAGTTATAGTTTCACCTCTAAAACTGATAAGATCTCCGTCCTGATCGACAACTTTTACGGTTATGTTGTTTATCGCTTTAACGCTGACTGGAAAATATAATATGGGTAAAGGTGATTCTACTATTTTATACCCTGGAGCTACAGCTGGATAAAATTGATGAATTATATGAACACGTTTGCCATTGTTGAATGATCCCACACAAATATTACAATCAATGCAAATTGCATTCACCTTAGTTATATTTGCAACATAGTCTGCATTATCTAATGTATTGGGTTCAACTAATCTATTTTTGAAACCCAATAATTTCCCTATTGAATCGTCCTTTGTGAAATCGATGCGTTTACTACACATTATATTACATTTAAGGGTATTAACATTTGGTAGCAAAAAAAAACTACATTTTCGCTTCCAAAAATGCCTGTAATCTCGCGTTTTAAGTATGTTTCTATATCAGTAATATCATAAGTTCCATCCGGTATAGTTATTATTTTATCATCTATGTAAAATTTATTATGACCTGATTCAATATTAGGAATGGTCATGAAAGTTTCAAAATCTGCTAGCCCCAAGTAGTATTGTTTGTCATCATCTAAATATATTGGTGGATTAAAATCTGCAGATAATACAGAATCGTTTCCTGATATCGCAATAGTTGTAGACATTGGAACTTGTACGATAATGTTTTTTCCTAATAGAACATCAAGCTTATATATAACTTTGCAGAAAAGAGAGTGCTAGTTGTCCACAGTTGACTGAATCATATTTTTGTTTATTTTCATAGGTGTAAAATACATTTGTTTTACCATTCGAATTAAAATATCTCACCAGTTCAAGAGGTGGTTTAAGGTTGCCATAACTATCAAAAAATATGGCTACATCTTTATTTTTGATGTAAGCTGTCCAATGAGTACCACCATGGTGTTTGCTATCTAAATTAACTATACCACATTCTACCTTTCGAATTTTGTTTGGAAGATCATCACGCATAAAGACACCTCTAAAATATGGTATTTTGATTTTTTTGATATATTTCAATAAATCAATATTGCTAAGTGCTCGTCGTGGTAATTTTATTTGAACTTTTTTTTTTTGGATTTTTTTTTTCAATGGATCCACCTTTAAATGGTTTAATGTATAATCCCTTTCCTTTAATCCGTTTATTTTTTTTTAAACCCAATCCTTTTCCTTGTGTTAGGTTTTCTATAGCTTTATTATGACGTTGAAGTTCCTCCAACTGTTGTCTGGATGCTTTAGCATCGTTTACTGCTTTGGCAATCGACGCGGCACCGCCTCCCAAGGCGCCGATGGCACCCAAAATAGGAAGTAAAAATGGTAAAAAACCACCAATTTTTT